CCATAGTGTTCCCGCTTTCTTCGCCTGAGACATTCTTGCAGACCTTCCGAAATGCGCATGTGCATGCGCGCCCAGGGCTGCGCAAACGATTTGCGTATACGTGTACATACCCTTGCACGCGTACATTCATATTCACAAATGCGACGTGTACGTCTGGACGCAGACGCGCGCGCATGTACGCACGCACGCACTCCGCTCGCTTGCGAAACTCAAGGACCAAGGTGCATGGCGCGCAGCGCCAGTGCAGTCTTGTGTATATATATATATATATATATATATATATATACATATATCGGAGAAGGCCGGGGGGGGGGGCCCGGGCCGGTGCCGCACCCCCCCCATGGGGGGACGGGACACGCCAAGGGCCCTAAAGATTGCCAAGTCGGCCCCAAGAAGCCCCGGACACGCCGAAGATGGCCTCAGCACGCCGACGACGCCGCCAAAACGGCCCAAGAGCGCCTCCAGAGGCCCCTCCACAGGGCCCCAGAAGCCGAAAATCATAAATTGTCTTGTGGATTTGAAGCATATTTGCGCTCTCGCATGTTCCGCCTCCCCACGGTCCCGTACGGCGTCAGAGGCCTTTCAGATCGCTCCAAGACGGCCGAAGGGGCTCCCAAGAAAGCCCAGAGACGGCCGGGCGGCCCAGGAGGCTCCCCAGATAATTCAAGAGGGCCTCGAGAGCGCCCCAAGAGAGCCCCAACAGCGATCCAAGAGGGCCCGAAGAGCGCGACAGTTCAAGGTCTCTGGCCTGAGAGGCTCCTCGGACGCCCCCGGAGGCCATCAAGAGGCTCCCAAGAAGCCTCGTGAGGCTCCCAAGAGGCCCCCTGGAAGCCCCAATAGGCCCCTAAGGGGCCCCCAGGGAAGCCCCCTGCGGGCCCCAAAGACACCTCGGTAAATCATATTTCCCAGACAGCTTTCCAGGAACATGATTCCTTGGGCTTCCGCCCACCGCTCCGAGCGTGGCGGCAGGTAGCGCTGCTTGGGACTATCGTTTTTTTGTTCCTGGCAGGCGTTTCGGGAACATGGTTTGGGCAGAGGGCGGCAACCCGAGAATCATGTTACCGGGAAGCTTTCCGCGAGCATGATCTGTTCGGCTCTCTTAAGAGGGGGGCCTCTGGGGGCTTACCGAGGGGCCCCTTTTGGCCTTGCTTCCCGGCGCTCCCTCACGGCGTCGGCGGCCCTCCAGATCGCTCCAAGACGGCCCACGAGGCCCCGAAGAGGGCCCCAAGGCGGCCCAGGAGGTTCCCCAGACATTCCAAGAGTGCCCCAAGAGCTCCCCAAGAGGGGGCCAGAGGGGGACCGCCAACCGATACTTCGAGGTCTCTGGCCCTAGAGGCTCCCAGTAGACCCCTGGAGGCCACCAAGAGGCTCCCACAAAGCCCCGTGAGGCGCCCAAGAGGCCCCCAGGAAGCCCCAAGAGCCCAAGAGCCCCCCAAGGGGCTCCCAGGGAACGCCCAAGAGGCCCCACAGCACACCCAAAGAAGTCATGTTCCCAGAAGGCCTTCCAGGGACATGGTTCATGATGGGCCCGAGAGTTCCCGGAGGCCCCCAAGGCCCCCCAGGGAGCGCCCAAGAGGCCCCCCAACACACTGTGACACCCCAACAAATCATGTCCCCAGAAAGCTTTTGGGGGACATGGTTCATCATGGGCCCGAGAGTCTCTGGAGGCTCCGAAGTACCATCATGCTACTGGAGAGCTGTCTGGGAAGTTGACTGGGAACATGACTGATCGCCTTCTCGCGGCCCCTCGCTCTTGAACCGACGACGACGACGACGACGACGAAACGACGAAGGCGAGGAGGACGACGACGACGACTGCGCGCCCCAAGAGGCGACGACGATATTACTACGACGACGACGGCACGCCCCAACAGGCTCCCCAAGACGACCCCCAAACCCATGTTCCCAGAAGGACTTCTGGGAACCCGATTCATCCGGTTCCTGCCTCCCTGCGCAACCATCTTCCCCGAAAGCCACCAGGAGTGCGGATTCACATGCGTGGACTGTGGTCCACTGCTTCAGTGGAGCAGTGAGCTCGTCAGAGCCAGGGGCCTGCTGGAGACCGAGCGCGCGCGAAGCGCGCGCGATGGTTCTAGAACAGAAACAATGTGTTTAAAAACACATGCATACACGCATACGGTCTGTGTGCGTCGTGTCGACCAGCGGCGACCCCGCCGTTAGCGTTCCGCCTTGAGCGCCAGCGGCGACCCAGAGTCGGTCGATGCTGAAGGATCGAGTGTTTCGGGAACGGCCGATCGTTCAAGGTTGAACGATCCCCGCGGTGTCAGAAACCAATGCCGGGGTCGTCACGACACGCACCTGCCGCATGAGAGTCCGATGGCCTTCGGCCCATCCCGCCACCGTGCCTGGGCTGCGGGTATGAAGCCTCATGGATGTTCGTTGGCATCTCGCCTCTCGGGGGCGTCTTGGCGGCGGTGTTGCCGCCTTGGGGGGCCGCTTTGGGGCCTCTTCGGGCTTATGTTGAGCCTCTTGGGGACCCCTTGGGGCTTCTTGGGGGCCTCTTGGGAGCATCGTGGGGTTGGGACCTCCTGGGTGCCTCTGGGGGCCTCCTGGGGGCCTCCTGGGGCGGAATACTCGGATTGTCGGTTCGTGTTCCCTTACTTGCCCTTTTGGGGCCCTCTTGGGCCGTCTTGGATGCCTCTTAGGGCCCGTCTTGGGCTTTGGGGCCCCTTGGGCCGTCTTGGAGCGTTGGGGACCTGAAAAGGCGAGAAAGCCCAAAACCGCCAGAGACCGTTGGAATATCAATGATGTATGCCTCTTGGGGCCCTCTTGGGGGGGCCTCTTGGAGGCCTCTTGGGGCGCCTTGGAGGCCACTTGCGCCGTCTGGGGGCCACCTTGAGCGTCTTGGAGCGATTGTTCGGCGACTCGGGGCCCCCTTGGACCGTTTTCGGGGCCCCTTGAGGCCCTCTTGGCCCGTCTTGGGGCCCCCCCCTCTCGGGCCAGAACAAGTCACGCGACAAGCTGCGGGGAAGAGCCCCGGAGGCACGCGAGACGCACCGCCACAGGTCTGAATTTTAGGCTTCGGCCCCTTAAGCAAGATTCTTCGGGAGTGAAAATTGAAATTTTGAGAATGGGGCGAAAGACCTGAGGACACGCCCACTCCGTGCCCAGAGGCACGGCGGCGGATATACAGAGAGAGAGGGGGAGAGGGAGAGAGAGGGAGAGAGAGAGAGGGAACAAAAAAAGCGAAAGAGAGAGATAGAGGACCAGGAAACTACGAGGATGGAGAAGGAGCTCCGTGATAGTTCAGGCAGATCTCGTGCCGCTGGTACGGCAATGCGATGAAGAGTTGATCCCGGGGACGGGTCGAGACCTCTGGTGGTCGACGTTTTGAAAGAATCACGACGTCGTCAGAGCCCCGAATCATCAGAGCTGGGCGGGGTCATGGGCAGCTTCTGATCCGTCCCCGGTCTGGAGTTATCCCGGATGATTCGGGCGTCCAGCCATTTTCGAATCGTCGGGGCTGGGGCTGGTCAGGGAAAACTCCTATTTCGTGCGTCGGGGGCCGTTCAGCCATACTTTTGCGTGGATGTCCGCCATACTCTTCTCAGTTGGTATTGTTTCGCATCGCTTGGGGTGAATTTCCGGCACAATTTTAGGTCGGAGAATCCGATATAGTTCTGAATGTTGTGCGTAACATCACCAGCCCATCCAGGATCGATGCCCAGGCGAGTTGCTTTGATCAGGTATTATATCGTGCACGCAGTGGAACAAAGGTTGGGGAGCCGCCATACCCTAAGAGGAGGAGGAGGAGGAAGGAGGCGGAACCAGAGGAAGAGGGGGAGGAGGAAGGGGAGGGGGAGGAGGGAAGAGGGAGGAGAGTGGACGGAGAAGGAGGATAAGGCGGATGATGATGATGAGGAGGAGGACGAGGAGGAGGAGGAGGAGCAGCAGCAGCACGGCCAGAGGCCTCTTGGATACCTCTCGGAGTTTCTTCGGGTGTCTCTTGAGAGCTTCTTGTGGGCCGCTTGAGGCCTCTTGGGGGCCCCGTGGCGCTCTCGGGGGTCTCTTAAAGCGTCTTGGGTGCCTCGGGGGTGCCTCTTCGGGCCTCCTGAGAGTCTCTTGGGAGTATCTTCAGGGCCTCTTGGAGGCATCTTGAGGACGTCTTGGGGGCCTCTTGGGGCGTCTTGGGTGCCTCTGGGGGGCCTTTGGGGGGTCTCTTGGGAGACTCTTGGGGGCATCTTGGGACCTCTTGGGAGCCTCTCGGGGCCTCCTGAGCCGACCTTGGAGCTGTCTTGGGGCACCCTTGGGAGCCTCGCGAGCCGTTTCGGGGCTACTCTTGGAGGAGATCGATCAAATAAGGGGTAGGTTCAAATTAGCGTTGCCCCCCCCCCCAGTAGCCCAACACGTGGCCAACACCTTCGTAAAATCAATGATTGTGGCTTCCTCGTCGAGGCCACCTTGGACGCTCCAACGCCTCGCGAAATGCTCCCTCCAAACCCAAGGGGGAGGGGGCAGGGGGAGGGGCAAACCCCTCCCCGAGGGGGAAGAGGGAAGACGGGAGAGGAGCCACTCACGCCCAGAGGGCTGGTGGGGTTTGGGGGTGGGAGAGTCAGCCAAAACACAGCGGGTCCGAAGTCACGGCAGGCCCTTGGCCTCTGGACGAGCCGCGACCAGCAACCGCGTCCCCGCTGCTGCTGCGGCGGCTGCTGCCGCCCCTCTGCGACCGCTGCGGCTCAGGACGGGGAGGGCAGCCACGGCACAGGCGCAGGCCGTCTGACGAAAGAGCAGGGGCCTCTCGTGCCACGTTCCCTGCCATGGCACTCTCCCTGGCGCAGCTGCCTTCGCAGGCGAGGGCCGCCCCAGCAGAGCTCCGGCACGGCGGGGGGAGGGGCGCCGGCGTCCAGGTTCGCGGTGCCCGCACGGCAGCGGGGGACGGCAGAGGTAGCATGGTCTTGCCAGTCGCGTCGCATGTGTTTCTTCTCGCTGCAGCCGGGCGACATGCATTGAGGGCACCCCGTGGGCGCCGGTATCGAGAGGCCGTCGCCAGGAGGGCTGCCATGATGGGTCCAGGCTGGACCGACGAGCTTGCACACCTCGTGCACCCGTCTCCAGAGGGGCCGAAGTGGCAGGCAAAGAAGCCTGGCTACCGCGGAAGGCCACTGATACGCTTGCTGCTAGACGGGGAGGACTTGGTGCATTCCTACGCCAAGGCGCTTTTCGAGCGCACTGGGGAGTGGACAGGTCCTCTGAGCACCGGCCTGGAGAAAGCGCTCACCTTCGGAGGCTGGCTGGGTGGGGCCCCAGATGATCCAGAGGCTCCAGAGATCATGACCTTCGTGGGGATGCCCGCAGATTTGATCGAATCCACGAACCCGAACACTGTCATCGACGGCTACCCAGAGGACCTGCGCGAGAGAACGGGCCGCGTGCTGACAGGAGCCAGGCAGTGCCAAGGGGGTCGCCCCTGCGAGTGGGCGCCACCTCCTCCTCCAGGAAGCGGGCCCCCCCTGAGGCCCCCCCAGGCCCCCGAAGGCGCGCAGAAGCAGCCTGTGCCTCCTCGAGCCTCGCTGCTGCACGCTCCTCGACCTGCAGGAGGAGGTGGCTGCCGCCCCAGTGCCCTCCTCACCCGAAGCATGGCCCCAAGGAGAGGAGATGGACGGCTATCACGTCAACGAGTGGGTCCGGTCACTGCAGGATCAGGATCGACTTATCACGTGGACCCGTCCTTCCACGATTCGCGGCGCGCCCCGGCCTAACAACCTGATGAAGCAGAAGAGTTACAGAGACGGCGAGCCCATCTACATGCGCAATCTGAAGGACATCCACGTCTTGCTGTCGCAGGTGATGGGCGCGGGTACTACGTTACGGGTGGGCGAACAGGTGGAAGCTCTGAAGCAGACTCGCCTCACGAACGGCCAGTGGCTCCCAGCAAAGTGGACGCCTGCAGTAGTCGTATCCGCGAACTACGACGGAACGTACGACTTGAAGTTCGATATGAAGAGGAACGAGCCGTACCATGTTTCTCGGAAAAAGAACCTCAAAAGCCTCCCGTGCATTTCGCAGAAGAAGGACTGGTTCTATAAGACGTACGGAGCGGACGACATGCCCGCGTCCTACCGGCTTTACCAGGAGATGGACTTTGCGATGGCGGTGCCGCCAGGGCACATCCGCATGCTTAAGACCGTGGACTCCATCTCGATGAAGAAACATGGCATAAACACAAACTTTCCGGGCTCCGCGCGGATTTCTCGGATCTGCCCCTTGGCCCCCCTGGCGGCGCCTCTGGCGCCGCCCCTGGCGCGTTCCGCGCACCGGGTAGGGGGGCCCAGCGCGGACCCAAGAAGTCCGCCTCGGAGCGCCGAAAGTGTATGTTCCTGCCGCTGTTTCTTCCTCTGCCGTCGCAGACACGATGGACACCGAGGGAGCCCAGTGCTGGTACCTCGTGTCCAACAAGGAGTTCCGGATCACGGGGAAGTGGCACAGGCGCGGCGACGAGCAGAGCAACGAGGAGAAGATGAACGAGTGGTCGGACAAGTTCCACATCAGATTCGAGTGGGAGGATACCCCTCCTCCTCCTCCTCCTCCTCCTCCTCCTCCTCCTCCTCCTCCTCCTCCTCCTCCTCCCACTCCTCCCCATCCTCCCACTCCTCCCCATCCTCCTCCTTCCCCTGCTCGAGTTCCTCATCCTCCTTTCCTCACTCCTTCTCCTCCTCCTCCTCCTCCTCCTCATCATCATCATCATCATCGCCATCCTCCTCCTCCTCCTCCTCCTCCTCCTCCTCCTCCTCCTCCTCCTCATCCTCATCATCATCATCATCATCATCATCATCATCATCATCATCATCATCATCATCATCATCATCATCATCATCATCATCATCTTGCGAGTGGGAGGATACCCCAGAGGGGCTGAAGTTCGTGCCAGCGCTCACCAACACGCAGGGCGAGAGCCTGATGATCAACCACAAAGACGTGGCCGCCGAATCCGGGCTGGACAAGCTGCCCGAGGGCATGCAGATCGAGGAGAGGCACAGGAAGTTCCTGGCGGAGACCAAGGACCGATGATCCTCAGACAGTGTGTTGGCCCAGTGTGCATTTGCCCCGCTCAGCCCCCCGAGGGGCCGACAGCACGTGGCCGGTGCCGGCCCTCACAACACCGCCTGCGTCGTAGCGAAGGGCTTCGGCTGGTGAGCACCACGCTGGCGCTCACGCACGGCCTGAGGATCATCCACAGGAGATGATGGACAAATTTACGACGGCCGTCCACGATGTGACGCCGATGCAGTCCGACAGGCTTGGTTGCCTCGCTACGCCCGTTTGAAACGCAACACGTCCCGTGTTCAAGACGGCCGTGTCAATCCGTTGCGTGTTGGCTCCACGCATTGGACCACGTGTTGGCGAATGTATCGTGTCGGACCTACGTTTTCAGGGGCTCGGTGGGCCAGCTCCTCCCGCTGTTCGGGGGGGTCGGGGGGCCCTCGCGGTCAGGTCCACCCCGGCAGGGCTCATTTCGATTCCTCCGGTTCGATTCGGTTT